TTGAGTATATTTTTAAGCATATTTGACAATATACGAGCTCAATTATTTTTTTCCTTCACCTAAGTAGCATAGGTGAATTAAAGTAGATAATACCACTGATGTTCTATTTTCATTTTGTCTTCTTAGCTGATTTAGAATGGTTAATAATTGTGATAAAAATGAGTGTTATTTGAAAGCTTTGAGCTAAGTTTAATATCATTAAGTGAGATCATGGCCCCTGGGGCATTGTGAAGAAGAAACAACAAAAATCTTTTTAAAGAGTATGACTAAGGAAATTCTCCATCTGCTTTTGACTCATGTCTAAATCATACGTTTTATATCACAAGAATGGACCTGCTTGATTCATCACCATTATCATTAAAATAATTACTGTGGCTTGCAAACATATTGATTTCTAATTGTGTGGTTCATTATTCATAAATTCTCTCTCTGTGTCTGTGTGTGTGTGTGTGTGTGTGTGTGTGTGTGTGTGTATGTTCTTTGGTTGATTCTACATTTACAGATTCTTTGACTAATCTCCAAAATGCCTATTTAATTTACAAAAGTGGAAACAGGTAATAAAATACTAATTTTCTCAAAGTATTTTACAGGAAAAACTAAAATTGGAATTGAGCTCACTAAAATTACTGGATGATTCCTTCTAATAGAAAAGATTTGAAATATTTGAGTAAGCCTTCATTTTCCTATTTCTTTTCTCTTAAGTATGGTTTCAGGATCTGTAATATTTCTGAGGAAAAGACACAGACCCAACAAAGTGAGTCTTTCTAAGAGCTTTGTGAGACAATAAATTGATGAATGTCCTTTTCTCATACCACTGATACAATTTAAGTGCTTAGAGACCCAGTTACTACATACTCAAGATATGGGACTCTATTATTGTTAGATTTGAGGTGGCCTAGACCATGCATAATAATGATGCTGACAGCAGTAGTACTTTTTTTTGGTGTCCCCATCCTACTCCACAAAAATAAAGGGCTTCCTCTAAATGATAAGTCCTATCTAAGCTTAGTCTCATCCCTAACAAACTACACATTCCTTCTTTGAAGTTCTAAAGAATAGATCCTATCTGTACCTACTCAATTTTGAACTAAAGATTTGATGAAATGGCTTATTCACATGCAATTTGCTCTTAAGAAAAAGGAGAAAGAAAGAGACAACAGTCACATAAAAATATCCAGACCTGGGGCCAGGGAGATGGCTCAGTGGAATAAGTGCTTCCCTGGCAAGCGCAGGAGCCTGAGTTCAATCTCTGGTTCTGCAAAAAAAATAAATAAATAAATTAAAAATCCAGACCTGCAGTTGAAGAGGTTAGCTAAAAACAGAAAAATGAGTATGGTATTAAACTACATTAAGAGAAAAAAGATCACTGAACTTATGAAAATCTTGGTTTAAAAACCTGGAATTTGGCCCTAGATTACACATTCCACTACAGTATATACAGAGGTTAGAAGAATCTAATCTTGAATGAGGAGTAGTTAGCCCTACTAAATAA